TAATATGTATTTAAATTTAAATTATATTTAAAGTTATATATGTGTAGTGTATCAACTATCTGGTATCCATAGCACAAGCCTCGTCGTAGCTTACCATGGAAATGATTGTGCTGTGTGTTAATATCCCAACATTGTATGTATTTATATATTTTTTTCTGTTTAATTAATTTAATAATTTGCTATTGATAATTATTACACTTGAAACTTGAAATATCTTTACATTTTTTGAATTATTCTCTTATTAATAGGGAATAACTTTCTTTACTTTCCATATTTAAAAATATCATTGGCCTCTGAAAGTCACATATCAATTATGATTTTAATATTACTTTTAGAAATATTGGCTACAATAGAAATTAACCTAACGATAGTTAACACTCTATAATTAAACATTGACGGCCCGATTATTTTACAATATACTAACGAGTTAGCCTCACTTCGCTTGGTTGCGTCCCTAATGCCCGATTTCACCAATAACCCATAAGCTACCACCTACATATGGGATCCCTAGCTTTAAAGTCCCCTTAACTGGCCCCTAAATTAAATTTCGTTTTACGATCGTCTTTAAGCCCATATTTCGAGCACCTAAATTTAGGGGCCTTTTAATATTTAGGTGACCCCTAACTGTCGGTGAAACAGAAACTGTCCCCTAACAGCACCCTAACCATGCTTAGGGGATCCCTTAAACTTAGGTGACGTTGGTGAAATCGGGACTAAGTGTCTAAGAGGGCTTACTTATTACTATAGGTCCACCAATGCCTATCTGTGAAGTAATTCCGCGTGAATGAGTGACAAACATAGACTGATCTTTTAAGCAGCTAAGTCGGAGCTAACCTAATTAGCCTTTACCCAGAACCCTGTATCTATACATATAATAAAATTCGAACTGAGTCAAATCTATACATTACATATTTTTTGGAAAATCTTATTGAAATAGTCATTGTTATCGATACAGAGGCCGAAGATAGTTTTAGAATTTTTGTCTGTCTGTCTGGGAACGCACCATGAGAAAACCACTGGACAGATTTTGATGAAATTTGGTATAATGATAGCCGATTATCCGGGTCAACAAAGTGTTCTATGTGGATAATTTTTACTATGGGAATATCTCATATCTGAGAAATCTATAATATGCGTTAAAACATAACTAGGGACAAACCCGAGCGGAGTGAGGGTGAGTCGCTAGTTACCTATAATGTAGAATTAGAAGTTATATGACCAAGTCTAGCTTAGCTGTTTAATAGAATGACTGAATGCAATTCAGGCTGATTGTTCAGCACCATTTAGTAAAAATGCTAGGCTGTTAATCGAAAGGCTAATTATTATTAGATAGTAAATCAAATGCAACAGCTATAACATTTGCGAACTTACAGCGATATAAAATAAAATGTCCATATTTAATTTTAGCGTAAATCTTTTATTTCATAGAGGCTATATTGAGGGGAGCTCTTTGGAACTAGAATGTAATTAACATTCAGTCATGCAGACGGGATTTTAGGCGGATCAAAGGGTCGCGTCGTCCGCAGATTTAATCATACTACTACGTTGTGTGGACCCACATTTAATACGCGGATAAACGAAAAGCATTAATTTTCATATTGACCCATCGTAACCACTTGCAAATTAAATCTTCTCTTACATGTTTAACTGTTATTTAGTTAAAATAAAATACGTATTATGTACTTAAATATATGACTATTTAGGGTTAGCTCAATAAAAACGAATTTTTTTTTTGTGTCTCGTGTGAAATTATGTTAGTTTATCATGTTTTAACAGCCTCCTTAAAAAATCAGCTCAAAAAAATCTAGAGGTCGCTTAAGAATTTTTAAAATTTCCATTTGAGGTTGATTTAGGTGTTCATAAATTTTATAAATGTTAAAAGCTACTGAAAATAAATACATACATATCATAAAATTTTAACTGAGTCAAATCTGTACATTAAATATTTTTTTGGAAAATCTTATTGAAATAGTCATTATTATCGATACAGATGCCGAATCTATATGTAGTTTTTAGAATTTTTGTCTGTCTGTCTGTGACTGCATCACGAGAAAACCACTGGATAGATTTTGATGATATTTGGTATGATGATAGCTGGTTATCCCGGTCAACATTTAGGATACTTTTTACTGAGGGGAATTATTCCATCTCTGAAAAATCTATACTAACCGTTAAAAGGTAGGGACGAACCCGAGCGGAGCGACGGCGGTGAGTCGCTAGTATTCTATAAAATAATTGTTATTTTATATTTATTTTAAAGCTTAAGACCACAAACTTTCTTATTTATTATACTAGTTAGATAAAAAATTGTTACAACAATAAATGGTAGCTCTGTGAAGTTCGCTATGAATTTCAAAGTTTATTCGATCTTCACGTTGAAACTGGAAGACCTTTGTCGAAAAATAATCTTATGCATCAATCGGTTAAACTGAAAGAGATATTTTCATTTCAAGAGAAATTTTTATTTGCGTCTCTGATTTAATCTTAGATACCTACATGCTATCGAATCGCCCATGCTTTACTTAGTATTAAGATACTGTGGCATACATACAAACATATATGCATGAATCAATATAGAAATCACTTAACCATGGTATTTAGACTACAAAATTATAAATAGCCCTACCCTACGGTTTTAGTACTAAGTCAGACAACTTAAAGGATGTGCATAGAGCTAAATTCATCATAATTTCATCGTGACCAGAGGAAGGATATATTATATTTTGTACTAAATGCATATGAAATTATATACATTACTTATAAGAAAAACACAATTTTTTAAAATTCCTATCTGTCTGTTTGTTCCGGCTAATCTCCAAAACTGCTGGACTGATTTTGATAGGATTTTCACAAGCAAATAGCTGATGATATAAGGAGTAACTTAGGCTTCATTTAGAAAAGAATTAGGGTTCCGCTCAAAAAAAAATACGTAACCAGGGTAAGTCGCTAGTAACAAATATTAATGAATTTCAAAATATAGCTAAAAATAACTCATATAACAGTGTAAAAAACTTCTTTACCAAGAAAATATGTTGGGAGAATTAACGAGAGGTTTTAGATCCCAGAAAAGCATTTTGTTAGCGATGTGCACTTGAAAGCTTCTAAAAAGCTCTTTTGATGATGCTGAGCTTTTAATACGGCTGAAAACTTACTACGTGATCGGAAATATTCACAATAGGTATATTCGTATTTTTGTAATAAATCATGTCTGTCATTAGAAAGGTAAAATAATTTAAACAATTTTATCTTGTATATTATAAATATGAAAATTTAATTTGTCCGTTTGTTGCGTTGAATATTTACAGTCGTAATTATTTAATGTTCTCACACCGCGTCTACTTATCCTAACCGTAACAAGACAAACATATATATATATATATATATATATATATATATATATATATATATATATATATATATATAAATTATATATATATATATATATATATATATATATATATATAAAGTAAAGAGTTTATAGAAATCGTTCTATTCAAATTTAGCGTAATTTGCAAACAAACAAACAAAAAATTCACTGTCTTTTGTATTGGACACCTGAATACCATCGAAACCCTTTTTTGGAATCAACGTTAATAAACATCTACATATTACGTAATACTGTGTACCTTTAGTATCGGACTATAATTACATGCTGCACAGATTTGGATGAAATAATTAAGGGAAGCAAGCTAGGGACAAACCCGAGCGAAGCGAGGGTGAGTCGCTAGTACAAAATAAATACGATTTGTAGAGATCCTAATTAGATGTGAAATATCCACAACACCTATATGAGATTATTATGCGCAGTGATATTTCAATAGACAACTCTAATTAGTATGATTGATCAATACGGCTCTAGCACTATTTATTTTGCAGACTAAGCTCAACGTCGCCTTTTTGGCGAAAAGCGTGCGTAGATTGCAATGATGTACTCTACATCTAATAGTTAAAGTGGGCAAGTTCGATTCTCATATAGGTTAGAGAATATCATAAGATAATTTCAATATTTACTTAACTACATCTTTAGATTTATTCAACGTATCTACGAGTAAAATACTAATCTATTTCAATTCCTTAAAAAATGCCTATAAAAACCGGTATATCCGACAAAAAAACATCAAAACTCAGTGTCAGCCTGCCATACTGATGTAGGGTGCTGCTTCTATATAAAATGCGTATAACAAACAGATTTTGTTTAATTTTACGTTGCTATAGAAAGCATTCGTTTCAAATTAACACAAATAAACGGACAAATCAATCAATAATATTAAATATATATACATTAAGAATTCTTTGATCTAGTTAAAATGAAATGTACTAAGCTTAAATTTATAGGTATAAATAAAAATGAAATTCTGTTCGTTGGTAAGCGTGTCATATACACCTATACATTATACCTACACCCTCCATTATCAGTCGGATCTTTACGGATCAAGTTTTGGTCATTTCGGTTTCGTCATCGGTTTTAATAAAAAAAAATTGGAAAGGAAAATTAGGAATACAGAAAAAATGAAATTATTTCTTATTGAATATTAATATGTTGGGACATTAACACACAGCACCATCTAGTTCTATGGTAAGCTACGAGGCTTGTGTTATGGATAACAGATAATTGATACACTACACATATATAACTTTAAATACATACAATATACATATTATAAATATAAACTCGCATGACTTGTGTACAAATATTCGTGCACATCACACAAATAAATGCCCCCAGCGGGACTCGAATCCGCGACCGCGGGCACATGTAGCAGGGTCTGGTGTAAATGAACTTAAAAGATCTAGAAAAAAGTTTTTATATAAGACAATATCTGTCGGATCAACTAGTAAATAATAAACATAAACATATGTTACAAAAATGGATATTTAACAAAAGAGGATTTAAATTAAACAACCAAATAATCCAGACGAAAATAATATGCAATAGAAAGAAACGGGACATGGCGCCCTAACGTCGTTCTTCTTCAAGACGTTACCCAAGAAAGACATCAACGCACCACGCAAGTGAAAGCATTGGTTTCGATGTTAAAACATAGCATAATCTAAAAGTACACTATACTGTATATTTACATGTTTAGTTAGAATATATACATTTTCTTACTGTTCACCCGAACGCAATGAAACTTAGTTGAATTGTTGTGGGCACTACTAAGGTTTCTGACATCATACAAAAATAACTCAAGTTAGGTGTACGGTATGTTAATTTACAGCCAATAAATGTTCATATATCGTAATATTTATAAGTATTCAGCCCTTAAAAATGTACGACTGTTGGGGGTGCCTCCCTTCAATACGAAAGGGATAGGTCATAGTCCACCACACTAGCCAAGAGCGGTTTGGCGTACTTTACATGTCTTTCCAAAACTTGTTAGGTACTCTAAGTTATGCAGGGTTCCTCGCGATTGATTCCTTTACCGTTAAAAAAAGTGGACGTTTGAAAGTAAATAGAGGGAGCCCAGTGGCAACGCGCTCGCTTGGGAAACCATGTGAAGCGGGTTCAAATCCGGGGTTTCATACATCTGATATTTTCATTATCGAAATTATAATAAATAATAAACGGCAATTAGGTTAAATGTATGTATGTAAATCTGTTTAGAAGTAAATAGAGAAATCATGATTTCCGTCTAAAATTAATAATATAGACTACTAATCATAACATGTTTAGTCGCCATTATCGCGTGTTTGATTCTTGCACAGAATATTTATATAATTTATACAAATATTCCCCTAGCCTAGTTTTAATCAAAATTCCCCTTTTGCTCCGCTGTAGTCGGGTAAAAAAATAAAAATGAGGAGAAAGTAGAGCAAGAGGTGGTAGATTTCTTACGGACTTACATACTGATATTTAATTTATATATATTTTGAAAATGTAAAAAGTAACGATTCAAAAATACTTGTAAAAGTCTATTTCAATAAAGTATATTTTGATTTGATATGATAAGGAATTACCTTGAATGATGGTTGTTCTACAGTCAGAACCTTGCACAGCGCTGATAGGATTCACCTATAGGTTTGAGTGAATAAGAATCACAGTTCCCTGCTCGTTGACATACGGCACATGATGGCATTATAATGGGTTTCTCTAGTGAAATCAAAAAAAAGGGAAAAGCGCGAAAGCCTCTACTTGACCGGTGAAGTAGACCTTGTCATAGAATATCGACATAAATTAACAATCGAACTGATGCTGCTAATATATCCATCTCTTTCCCATATATTTTATGCATCCCTATTTCCGATATTGTCTCGACAACTTGTTTACTTTATCGCCACTGAAAGTTTAAAGTAGGTAAAATCCTGATAATGAGAACGATCGAGTTTAAGCTTCGTTAAAACTTTAATACAATTATAATTCAGGAATATAATATCACGGGGATCGAACACAATGTATTACTTGAAAATTAATATAAATAAACAAAATATTAATATATATATATATATATATATATATATATATATATATATATATATATATATATATATTGATCCAGTCACGTCTTACTTCAAACTTTTTACTTCAAAATACGTGTTTACTTTAAAATTAAAAAATGATACAACATTGAAAATCAAAGATCTGGACCAGGTTACATCAAATAAAAATCTGGATATGAGATCGACGTATTAAGAATCTTCTTTTACCGGAAATCGTAGATAAGATAAAAGTAAACTTTAGCAGTTAACAATTCCATTAAAGTTCATGAAATTTTATTCTTATATTGTTGATATGAAATCTTAAGAAACAATGGTATGGGCACAGTATAAAAAAACAAATAGTAGTCATTGATTTTAACGGAAATGCGCTTCAACACAAGGATTGTCAAAAAAGTTTAAAAACTGTACTGCCATCTAGTGGCAAGTAACCCTAGCCGTATCAGGATTGCTACATAAAAGTAAGTATAAAAGAAGAGCACTCCCCGATCGAGTTCGCTGTCTAGAGGCTATGTAATGTGTATGTATACTAGACTGTGGTATGGAGGATAAAAAATGTCATATTTTAGTAATATAGATAGATAAGCGTATTACTAAAATCGGTCAAGTGCGAGTCGAATTCGCACATGAAGGGTGCCGTATCAGTGTACATGCACTTTTTATTAATATGACTTTTACTTTATGTATGTAGTATATTAACTTCGATGATCGATTACAAACGTTAAAAAAATGTTTTTTATTTTTATTATTTGTTGTTATAGCGGCCATAGAAATACATCTCTGTGATAATTTCAACTCTCTACCTATTGCGGTTCATGAGACTCGTTCACGGACATGTTCACGGACAGCGGGGGCTTAGTAATAAGGGTTCCGTTGGCACCCTTCGGGTACGGAACCCTAAAAAGTAAAATATATCTCAAGATTAAAAGATAAATAAATATAAATACAGGTACAAGTTTAAATTAATTAAGAATCTGATCTGTTCCATGTAAGATCTTATAAATATCTACGTTAGATATGCTTGCGCGATAAAATTGTTACCCGTAAAGATAATATTATATTATACATAAATAAATAAAAAAAACGAGCAATTAAAAAAGATTAAAAAAAAACATTCAAATATAACCTGATTCAATTAAAAAAGATCAATGGTAGTTTAGTTACGGACCGCCTACACTATATTTAAATTAAATATAATAATAAAAATAAATAAAAACTGAAAAAAATAAATTCAAATATGCTCGTATGATTCTATTTGAGTATATTTAATCTTCATTCATACAAAAAATTAAATGAAATCAAAATATAATTTATTCGCTGAGGCATAGCTGCTCTTTTAAAAAACATAATTTCTTGAGTACAAAATTAGTAGATACATTTACAATTTTGCCTCAATAACTTTAATCATACTCATTTACTACGTAGAATAATCTGCTATATAATATATTTATAATTTCAAACTTATCTGCTGCAGTGAAAAACTTAATTAAAAATTTGTTTTTTGCTAATATTATTATCAAAAATCCATACTTTTATTAACGTGCAAGGACATTGAATTATTAAAAATAGAAATATTCTATACAATTGCCTTTAAGCTTTAATGATATAATGGTCACTGGCATTATTATTTATATAAAATGACCACTACCATATTTTTCACTTTCCTCTTTGTTTACCCAATATTTATGAACTGTTGCAAGTGATGGTGGTGGTCACGGGGAAAGAGTGTGAAAAATATGGTAAATACCCCGCTTCACACCATAAACACAATGATAAGTTTCATTGCGTATAAAGAAAAAAAGGCTTTTTGTGTGGTTCTTTCGCCATTTAATACAAAGATCATATTCATGCATAGCAATAAACAAAATCACTACTTACCCTCCGGCGAAAACTGCATACGAAGATAGGTAGAAAGTTCGATTCTAGCTTAATCTATATTTGTATGTACCATATAAAATTAATTTCAACGTCGAATTGTCAACTTACAGCTATTAATTAATTTTCATTTTAAAAAGAACTGGCGGTTAATTTAATAATATGTTCTTTATTAATAAGAAAACTTTTAAAAACTATTTTTTAACGATTGTGCATAAGTGGTCTAAATCGTTAAAGTTAAATTTTCGCAGAAACATTTTAATATTCTATACATCTTTATATTAATTTTAATTGCTACTTTATATATAAGTACATATTTTGTAGGTTTCATATCAAAATTTTAACTTCGCCAGTTAACCATTAAAAATACGCATAATTCAATAAATAATAAGTTTACAAGAGGCATCAAAACCCTTCTAGTTTTAATATGATCATGTTACAATTTTATATAAGATTTGTTTTTTTAATTGTGAATCAGAGAGTTACAAAAACATATCAGCAAAAAGACGTTGGTTGACAGTCAATTTGAGTATTTAATTATTTTAAAACAGATTTAGGCCTTTCTATATTATAAAGAGGTAAAGTTTGTGAGTTTGTGACGTTGTAGGGAGTAATCTCTGGACCTACAGAACCGATTTAGATGAAATTTGGATAAGGAGATAAGGAGATAGTCTGAGACCCTGGGAAGGACATAGGATACTTTTTATCCCGGAAATCCTCCCTTAAGGGAATGAAAATGGAGATGAAAGTTTGTATTGGGAAACAAGCTAGGGACGAACCCGAGCAAGCGAGAGTAAGTCGCTAGGAAACATATAAAATTGTAACTTTATCATATGAAGTCGTACATAGGCGTATTATATACAATAATAAAGTATAATATTTTAAAAGACTTACCCTAAAATTCTGGTGTGCCGCTTGCTCTTCCGCGTTGAACTTGTGCCTGATGTTTTCGATGCGCATTTGCTTTAAAATACCCGCCACCTCGATCCTGAAAGACGACGGGATATTTTTAAATTAATTAAATTAAAATACGTGTACGTATGTATAATAGCTTCTTTTTGACACTTCACGTCAGAGTGTACCAACGGGTTTGGTACACTCTGATGATGTGAAGATTGGCATTTCCAGTGGTATCGCACTAGCTTGGGAAACAGAATGAAACGGGTTCAAAACCAAAGTCACGCATTCCTGATATTTTCTTGTGCGAATCATTTCTAATATGATTACTATTTTTCTTACGGTGCAGAAAAACATCGTGAGATAACCTACATGTCTGAGAGAACCTAGCAAGTTTTCGAAAGACATGTGAAGTCCGCCAACCGCCAGTACAGCCAGAACTTGGCTAGCGTGGTGGATTATGGCCTGATTTCTCTTATAAAAAAGGGAGCCCCGTGCCCAACAGTGAAACGTTAAAAAAGGGCTTATTAATAAATGAGAAGTTCAAATAATATTTCTTGGAATTTTCGCCAATAGTGGCGGTAACGCATAAATATATGAGATCGTCATGCTTTATTTTCATACGCAATATGTCGACTTGGCCTATCTTCTGAAGAGGTATCGCTTTTGAGAGTTTTACTGGGATTAGTTTTATACGACTATGATATATTTTATACATACTCTAAAAATGTTTTATTATAAAACAAGATTGCAGTGAAGCTGTTATGATTATTTTCTCGCAATATTATATACAAGTGGTTCTAACTAACAATAAGCCACAGCTCTTATAAAACCTCCACCTATTTCAAAATAGATGTTAAAATGACAACATAGATTTTCAGACAACAATTAAGGTAAAACCTTTTAAAATCTGTCCAGTCACTATTTGCTATGAATATGGATAAACAAAGAAAAATATTACTTTGTACTTGGGACATAAAACACTGTTCTTATAAAAATATTATACAATCCTTTTATCCGCCAATTATAGCAAATCTAAAAAAAAATAAGTGTCTGACTGCTTTTATTCTATGGTATGGAGGTTTGTTTACAAATTTTTATAATGTAACCTTTATTTAGGTACGATGCTTATGTACACTAGATGCGAGTCTGTTTACTTCAATTATCAAAGTAAAAAGTATTAAGATATATAAGATAGGAATGAAGTGATCGCCTCCAGGCTATTTCAACTTTTTAGAAATATTTTTTATTATTTAACTTTATAAAAAAGAAGTCGAAATAATATTAGTTCCGCTGAGGTTTTTACATGAGGGTTTTACATATTAGTATACTCTTACAATGCAGTTTTTGTATTTTTTCTCAGAAATGAGATAAAAAGTATCCTCTATGTTGACCCAGATAACCAGCTATAATCATACCAAATTTCATCAAATCTGTCCAGTGGTTTTCACGTGATGTGGTAACAGACAGAAAGACAAAAATTCTAAAAACTATAGATTCGGACTCTGTATCGACAATAATGTCTATTTCAATAAGATTTTCCAAAAAATATTTAATGTACAGATTCGGCTTAGTTACAATTTTATTATATGTATGGATTATTAGTATGTCTTTATACAACTTTTTATTAATAAAATACACACCTAACTTTCATATTCTCTTGCAAACGATGCAAAGGGCCTAGGTACTCCTGTGATCGACCACTTTGGACTTCAGCAAGTTGATACTTGACATGCTTCATTCTTTCATTGTAGAGTTGTTCTCGGAGCACTGTGAATTGACGTTCCAAATTTGCTGGAAATATATAAATAAAGATTTTAAAATAAAATAAACAGATACAAGGCATAATATAAGGCAGTGGTAGTTCTTTGCTAACACAGTTGCTTGGAAAAATAACTGAAGCGAGTTAAAATAGCAGGTTTCGCACCTCTGATATTTTCATGTGCAAATCATTTTCTACATCATTACTACCTGTCTTATAGTGAAGGAAAAGATCATAAAGAAACCTAGCATGTTTTCGAAAGATATATGAATTCCTCCACCAGGCCCGCACTTGGCCAGCAGGTAGAATAATCCCCTTCTAGTAAAGGGAGACCTGTGCTCATCAGTAGGACATATAAAAAAGGGCTGAATACATAAATACAAACAGATGCACATTTGATAAAGTTTCTGTGATTTACATCAAATGATATGAAGAACAACAATGAAATAATGTAGTTATTTAATTTCTTCAAATACTATTTACCTATATTATATGATTTTAAAACTCAAAATAAGTAATTATATAATAGCCCAATGAACGAATAGAATTTTACCACACATATTGATATCAAATCTGTGGTAGATGGTTAAATTAGGTAAGTAATAAAAATTGCTTGAGATGCAAGTTAATATAAGCTAAACGCTTTGTGATATTTCATTACAAAATATGAAATGGCTAAATATCTATAAGAAATGATTTCAGATATACAGTGTTGAATATCATATTTCTATGCATGAAATTCAAATATAATTAATTACATGTAGAATGTATTCTTTGACAGTTTAACTAAATTACAGTGATCTAAGACACAAGTTAAAAAAGTCAAGTATGAACAGAGACGAAATTAAATGAATTATTGGATCAGTAGCATGTTATAACATATGTAATTATTTGCCATTCATGCAATGTTGCTATTTATTATAATCTATCATTGTTTCCTTTATAAAACTATATACATATTGTATAAATAATATAAGTTTAATATTTACATTTAATTTTTGTTTGTGATAATTATATGTTTAATTTAATATAATTATAATAGTAAAAACGTAAAGTTTATTATTGATTATAATATAGTTTAATATAACATATAATGTAATAAACACGTATCAAATCGGATAAGATAAACAAATTTAAAATCCTAAGGTTCAAATTCGCGTATATGCATATTGTTTGTAAACATAACCTACTGAGACCAACCTAAGTTATCCAAGCACTCGTTTCGTCTCCGTTCACATTCACTCTCATCTAACTCAGAAGAGTCATCAGAATCTGGTTCGTCAGCTTCTTCAGCGCTTGAATCACGATCAGGGCCTCTCGAAGAACCTCCAGACCTTTCTGTATCTCCTCCCGACATATCACCATCACCATCACTGTCTCCTTCAACTTTCATGGAAGGCATATTATTTATATTCAAACTAAACAAAAAATCACGAATTTGAGCAATGTAGCCTAATTTTATCGCAAAAAATAGTTTTCGCTCCTTTCCAAATTGTTCCAAATAAAAACATGTAACGTCAACGTCAAACTGTCAAAAGTCATCAGGTGACACAGATAATATTATATAAAAATATTTAACACGCAGGTAGGTACATTTGGCACATTTTTAATTAATTTAGTTATTTTTATCATTTACTTTTTTTATAATATAAGTATAAGTACGGAAGGCTCACCACATTATACTGGTGAAAATCAGGTCCGGCTACATTTAATACAAGTTCTGCAGGAAATTGCAGTAGAAGTCTGGAATTGGGAAATTAGCGCTGATACACCGTCGCTTGGGTACTTCCGTAAGTAGCCTTTGTCACTATTGTTAGGCACTTATACACTTACTTAACCCAATATAAAAAAAGTTGAAATGTTATTGAAAAAAAACAAACTAAAGTTTGGCGTTTTACAAGTAGTATGTATTAATTGTAGTTTTTTCTCTCATAAATATACATTCTTATCAGGCACACAGTCTACTTTCAGAATATGTATCTACTATCTAGAGAAAATATCAAATTGTTTGACATAATTTTATTTTCGATATTCTGGGGCCGAAATGAGACCTTATCGATACCCTTCCTTACATTTACGAGCGCATTAATTAATTTTTGATAACTGAGACATTTTTTTCGAACTATAATATGCTTTTTTAGTGGGTAGCCACTAAGTAGGGTGAGGCAGTGGTAGCCCAAGCGCGCTCGCTTGAGAAATCGAGTAAAGCCAGTTCAAATCCCGGATCTCGCACCTCTGATATTTTCATGTGCGAATCATTTCTAACATGATTAGCACTTGCCTTACGGTGAAGGAAAACATTGTGAGGAAACCTGCATTTCTAAGAGAACCTAGCAAATTTTTGAAAGACATGTGAAGTCCGCGAACCCGCACTTGGCTAGCGTGGTGGACTATGGCCTGTTCCCCTCGTACTGAAGGGAGGCCCGTGACCAGCAGTGGGACGTTAAAAGGGACTGAATACATTTTTATTGATGTCAGGTTGTTTATTTTAATTTCAATATAAAATATTGCAATCTGACTACTACGGCTACTACTACTGTAAAGAAAAGGCCAGGCACTTAAAGCATTTTTAGAAACGTAATATAGTTGATAATCTTATATTTAAAAATCAACAGCAAGCAACCTCTTAAACATTTGTCTTTAGCGACAAATTTCAAATTGTACAATGCTCAAGCTATGTGTACAATAACATAATAGGCTCATTAGAGCGTTTTCCAGTTATGTTAATAAACAGACAGACATTGATATCATTGATATCATTTATAAGGCTATTATTACGCCATCGCCCATATATCTTATTTTTACCCGGCTGCGGCGAAGCCCAAAGGAGGGTTCTGTATTTGACCTATATTTATGTATATGTGCAATAATTACAGACATGTATGTAAGTACGTAAATATGTCAATTAACTGCAGTATTTCAACAACTTTTTTAATTTTTTTAGTGATTTTTTTGTTATTATTTATATTTACAGTATCTTTTTTGTATTATTCAATGGCTTTTAAAATTGTTACACTAGCATCTGTAAGAAATAGAAGAAATAAAACAAACAAAATATCTGATATTAAATTTAATAGGTACTCTATTTATTTACATTAAATTGTTCACTATTAACATGGTATTTATAATATTTATCGCTCAGTTGTCAATATATTTTATGTACAGGACTATTTATAAATTATATAATAATATCAATACTGTGAAGTTTCGAATCCACATTTAATTAAACAAATGCGCGGGAAAAGTTTGAAAAATTGCAAATGTCGGTTGCACACGTGACATTCAAAGTTACCCCGCGCATCTGTCAATTGAACTTAAATACAGAATAATGACAGAACGAAACTAGCTTACGCGTTTTAGCACCTCCACAGGCTACATAATTATAATTATAATACAAACAATTTACGATAATACTCGATCAATATTTAAATAACGTTACAACACGATACCACGAAATCAGCACACGTTATGAGAAATCGTTTAAAATATAAACGTTTTAAAATACATATAAAATATTATATTTAAAAAATTGTGATTGTTAAAAAAGAATTATAGTGACACATCGATTAAACAAGTACTAGATACAAAATCCCATGCAAAAATTTTCTTTGTCACCAATTGTGTTTAGGTAATAATTCTAGTTGAAATAAACAATAATGTAAATTGAACCTTAAATGCAGAGCTCAAAGTTGCTTTTACATAAAAAAATTAAAATCAAATCTCAAATGTTCAAATGAGCGCTCATTCGGTGAAGATATTTTTTCGCTGATTGTATATCTAGTACTTTTTTGATGGAAGTAGTGACACCATATTTTATTGGCGTGGCGGATATTTGGCACTAAATCATTTGGAATACTCAATATCTACTTATACGTAAGGTGTATAACAAGACTAATTCGTATGCATGCTAGTTATAAAACTTCATTGGAATGTATGGCGATAGATATTGCGTATTCATAAGTGTACAGCGTGGCAACATTTTTCGAAACAAAACTGAAACATGTATCGTATTATTAATAATTATTATATAAAAAATAAATCGGTAATATATCGAATTGTACGTTACACATTCATCGTTGGAACGAATGTTGCCATGCCAAAATACATTTTAAATATATAAACGAGTTTTATTCAAAAAGCAATTTTTATGCAGCTGTATGTAAAATTGCTATTGATCTAATTGTATATTAAAATGGTAAATTGGACAAAAAGGAGATTTAATTTGGCAAAAACGTTTTTTTTAAATAGGAATATTATAAAAATTAGATATGTTGTATTTAAAGTAGTATAGGTATGTAATACGGGTTAAAAATATTGCTTCTACACACTATTTAACTGCTTTAGATAACTCGTTTCATTTATATAGATTTAAAAATTCCTAACGCCGTGTATTGAACCCACGACGAGGCTATCTACGGGAAGAATTCTTTGAAAAATTCCTATTATATAACTACGGTACAAGTTTGGCAATAGAGAATAATTATTGTTATTCATCGTAGTTATTAATTATTATTATACTTATACAATTTCATAGCAAATTAAAAATTCCTTTGCGTTATTGTTCAAGTAAAAAATTAGTATCGATTTGTTTAAATATATAAATTATTACATTATAAAAAGTGAGATACACTACATATTTCGTAGACAAGAAAAATTTTCGCATGTTTAATTAAAAAAAAAAACAATCGTATTTTCTATAATTTTTGAATGTGTTAGATTATAATAGTTAGTATATATAAATATTTTAATAACAACTGTGAAGTCTTATTATAAAATAATGAAATTGTAATAAAATTTTATAATAATAATAATTGTCTATTATATTTATTTAATAATCAAATATTATCTGGTATTTTTTTATACATTTATTAATTTTGGAATGTTTAAGTACATGGTAAATGGTTACATGTTGAGACTATTATATCCATCCATTATAACTTTAAATAGCTTCAATAAGCTACATTAGTGATTATGACAAAAAGATATATTTTCAAATTTGAAATAAGATAATATTATAAGGCAGCAAGTACATATATAAATTACTCGAAAAGTAAAAATTTCAACATCCATTTAGAAAACACACGTTAAGTCTAAATCTCAAAAGAATTATTTTGTGAATATATGCACGCGTTTTTTTTAAATGACAACAATATTATTTTTAATACAAAAAACCCCAAATTACGCAATTCGTGCCATTAAATCGTTTACCGCTAGAGAACACATCGCTAACTCCTACATCTACCGTACACATTTCCATAATAATGACAATAATAAAAACGCGAATCGAAATTAAAACCGCTGGCATAAACAAAGTAAATGAGCAAATGTAAAACCATTTGCGCGACAATATACAGCGTCGCCATTTTGGCAGGAGACGCCATCTTGTGAACTGTCACTTTACATATGACGTTCGCTCCATTGACATTCAGTCTGTGTGTTATATTTTTGTTTTTATTTATATTTAGTGAGCGCTAGGTTTGTTTGAGCCAGTGTGCGGGAACCCACTGAGGTTCTCGTTCGAGACTGTTTATTTCGTTTAGAAGTTGTTGGTACGCGCGTTGGGTGTCGTTGTTTATAATGATCATGTCGAAGAGATGCCCCCATCGGAGCTCCATGTCCCTCGCAGTCGCTATTATCTCCTTTAATTCTTCCTCCTGCAAATAATTATAAAGGTTTGTTAGATTCGCGAGTCTATATAGTTTATGGTTTTTTTATAGGATGCTATAAATTAAACAACTTTATAGCTATATTCCCGTGAAAAATATAGTGATTGACTTTTAATATGGTATTTTACTTATACATATGCTAGCAAAATGTTGGCTTCATTCCTATTTGTCTATTAATTTTGCCACGTCTATAACTTCTATGTTTTTAGTTGATATTTGATGTCATTGTCAGTGTTAATTCTAGATATGAATCACACATGCCAATACACAAACTTTAATACAGATAAATAAAATTGAAAAGTCTGTTTGTAATGTGAAAATGACAGGTCTTTAGTAAATGCATATAAAATTATAATCTTCTATAAGAAATCCACAACTTTGAAAATTTTTATCTATCTGTTTGTTTCGGCTAATCTCCGAAACCGATGTTGACGGTACTTTCACTGATAGCTGATATTATATGGAGTAACTTAAACTAACTTTTGTTTTTAAAAAAAGAAATAGGATTCCGCTCAAAAAAAGCTTAAGAAGTACCTACGGACGCACCCAAGCGAAGCGAGAGCAAGTCGCTAGTATATGTATAGATTCTTTTACACTAAATAAATATTTTATAATGGTAATACCTTAAAAGCTTCTCCATTCCTGATCTTCTTCTGCCTCAGCTTCTCCAAACTGGGCGGTGCCACGAACACCGTGTAGGGCTTCAGGTCGGAGTTGCGGAGTATCTTCAGCGACTGGGGGTGGAGGTTGAGGACGCAGATCTTGCCGGAGTTCACTACCTCACGTATAGCTTCCAGGGATGTGCCTGATGATGGAATGGTTTTATGTTACAATACGAGTATGTAAATTAATACTAATATATGGATTGTAAGAAATAAGGGAAGAATATTTTTAGTCTATACTAGTGAGCTTAGATTTCCTTTGAAGTTATGTTGCAGAAGTACTTGACGGTTGTTATCGAATTCATAAACATCATCATGAAGGTAGCTTATTTTTGTAATATATTTATAAATTTTAGCCTATACCTATGATCTTCCTAGATTCTCTATTATTAAAAACGTACAATAGGTATGTTTGTTCTTACAGTTAAATCCCAATTAGTTGAGATTGTCATACCTGTCCAAATTTAATAACCTAGCAATAATATGACTTCAAAAATTTTTAAATATAATTATTTTCTTAAGGGTATGTATAATGTTCTTGGAATTTATCATCATCATCATCATCTGAGGCATTACAGCCCCGGGTGGGCCTTAGCCTGGTCCAGCAAAGCTCTCCAGTCCGATCTGTTATAGGCTTTCCTTCTCCAACTTGTTACTCCCAAGATCTTGATATCTTGTTCGACGCCGTCCAACCATCTGAGCTTGGGTCTGCCTCTACTTCTGCGGCCCTCCGGTCGGCCTTCTAAAAGGCGCTTGGGTACTCTGGCCTCGTCCATTCGCAACACGTGCCCTGCCCAACGCAGGCGCCCGATCTTTATGGTCTTAATTACGTTTGGCTCATCGTACATTTGGTATAGCTCGTGGTTATAACGCGTTCGCCATCTCTCATTTTCCATCACAGCTCCGAAAATGCGTCTTAGTATTTTCCGCTCAAATACCAACAAGGAATTTTCGTCTTTTTTGCTCAGCACCCAACATTCGGAACTGTAGGTGAGTATGGGTCTTAGTAAGGTTTTGTACAAAAGAAGTTTTATGCTTCTTGAAAGAAGTTTCGAACGAAAGTATCTTAGTAGTCCGAAGTAGCACTTGTTAGCCGCCATTATTCTCCTACTTATTTCTGAAGACACATCGTTGTTATCGGTTACTAAGGATCCCAGGTATACGAAATCATTGACGCTAGCGAAGGTGTTGTTGCCAATATTAACTCCTTGTGGTAGAGTTTGCTGGTCTTTTGACGCTTTCAGGTACTTAGTCTTAGCCATGTTAACTTGGAGACCGGCCTCCGCAGCTGATTTTTCAAGCGCAAGGTATGCACTCTCCATTGCAGGTAGAGATCTACCTATTACGTCGAGGTCATCCGCATACCCTAGAATTTGAACGGATTTGTGGTAGATAGTGCCTTTGGTCTCGATCTTTGAGTCGCGAATACACTTGTCAAGAATGATGTTGAACAGTAGGCACGAGAGCGCATCCCCTTGTCTTAAGCCGTCATTGGTTCTGAAGGGTTCTGATACGCTTGTTTGAACTCTAACAACGCTCTGAGAGTTTCTAAGAGTCATCTCCGTCAGGCGCACGAGTTTTGTTGGGATGCCAATCTCCATCATAGCCTGGTACAGGAAACCTCTGTGCACATTGTCATAGGCAGCCTGCCTAAGCGAGAAGATTTGGTCTACTGTGGACCTGTTTGGACGGAACCCACACTGATACTCCCCCAAGCTGGATTCTACATATGGCTTTAGTTTATTAAAAAGCACATTGGCAAAAACTTTATAACCGGTGTTCAAGAGAGATATGCCTCGGTAATTATTGCACTCCAATATGTCGCCTTTCTTATGTAGGGGGCAGATAACAGATGTATTCCAATCATCAGGCATTTTTTCATAGTTCCAAATTTGGAGCACCAGGTGGTGAAACTCCTTCTCGAAACCAGTTCCGGCATACTTTATAAGCTCCCCTTGGATATCGTCCATTCCCGGAGAATTTTCCCGGAAAATTCTTGGAATTTATATAAGACCAATTTTTACCAAAAAATATATATGAAAAAACAAAAAAACATACACCTACAATAATTAACTATTTTTCTGTCAAATCAAACACAACTCACCATAATATGCCTTCTCGTACTCGCCGTGCTCCACGAACTTCCTGTTGAGTATGTCCGCTTCGAACTGCGCGCGCGAGATGAAGTGGTAGTCCTGCCCCGCCGCCTCGTGGTCCTTGCGCGCGCGGGACGTGTCTGTTGGGTACTTGTATTAGTATTTTATGTACATATGTAAGTTTTGTGTGCGTTTGTGTATTTGTTACTGCTTGTATTCTGTCCTTTTTAACGTCCCACTGCTTGGTACGGGCCTCGCTTTAATACGAGAGGGATCAGGTCATAGTCCACAACGCTAGCCAAGTGCGGGTTGGCGGACTTCACATGTCTTTCGAAAACTTGCTAGGTTCTCTCAGAAATGCAGATTTCCTCACGATGTTTTCCTTCACCGTAAGACAAGTGATAATCATGTTAGAAATGATTCGCACATGAAAATATCAGAGGTGATTACCCGGGATTTGAATCCGCTTCACTCGGTTTCCTAAGCGAGCGCGTTACCACTGGACTACCGCTGCCTATTATTAGTGTGTATCGCTAAAATAATTGGGCGGATTTGGATAAAGAATATATAGATAGATTGATCTGGAGTAATGTGTAAGTTATTAAGTCTGCCCTTCATTTGGCCGGGTGGGGAACTATGCCCTGACCCTCGCATTGAAGGAAGGCATGCATATAGGGCATATAGGTGCATACCTATGGCAGAGCTGAGTTATTATATATGTGTTTGTATGAGTGTGTGTCACTGTCTTTCTCTGTGTATGTGTATTATACGTGCGCTTCTAAGGTGTATGTAAGTATATGTGTGTCTCTCTGTCTTTCTCTCTTTATATACTCGCATCGTTGGATTTACACTAGAGGGGCATTTGGGGCTAGTGCCCAGGGTGGCAAATTTTTAGGGGCGACAAAATTCGGAAGGTAGGAAAAAAAATTCTTCGCATTATTCGCAACGTTTTCTGTATTTTTCAAAAAATGATTAATTAAAAAAAATAACTATGTAGTACATTTTTCGAGAAATTGGAATCAATTGTATAAATTAATTTTTTGCAATTAAAAAAAATTTAATAAAAAAAATATTAAAACTTTATCAAAACTTTACCCGTTTTATGCAAAATTTCGATAATGTGGCGGCATTAGTGTATGTGTGTGTGTGTGTGTGTGTACTCACGCGGCACGGCGGCGGCGAACCTCGCGGCGTCCTCCATGAGGCGCTGGCGCAGCTCGTGGCGGCCGATGTTGGGCGGCCCGATGAGCACGATGGGGCGCTTGTGCGACGCGCGCGGGTAGTACAGCGCCACCTCCTCGTACGTCAGGATCTCCTCCTGCTCGTACTCTGCGAGGTCGTGCGGGGGTGCGTTGTTTTAATATTTATTTATTGATTATTATTTGTTATAATTTAGTTAAATTAAGCTATATTTAAATTATATTTGTTATAATTTAACTAAATTATTTCATATAATTTAGTTTAATATAGAAGGTAGGTAATTGATTGTTTTTTTTATTTATTGTGGTAAGCCGATCTTGATAAATAGATCAATTAAAAGGAATTAATCTTTGTTGAAATTTATGTGATATGTGATCCCATCTCTATTCACGTAAGAATAGTTGTTTTAGTCATTTTAGTTAATAGGATAATCAAACACATAACCTTCCTTTATGCTTCGTTACAATCAGGTAAAATATCAACAGCCTCAGAAGTGTTATAGTGTATTAATATATTTATTAAGCACAAACATATCTATCCTACGGGAACCAATTATTTTTCCGGTATAAAAAGTAACCTGTTGTTTGATCTGTAATATAAAGTATCAGCATGCCAAATTTTACTAAATTAGGTGCATAAATTGTTGTGTACTATATTGTATAATTTGCTATAGTTTATTTTAACTATCCCACGGAAAGTATTTAATTTTCCGAGATAAAAAGTATCTAAAATGTTTACCAGGGATATAAGGTACACCCATGCAAAATTTTATTTTAATCAATCCAACAGTTTCGGAGTCCGTACAAACAGACAAACAGTGAAACAAAAAAATTGAAAAAAAATCTGGATTTGTCCTATTTCTCTTCTTACATCCATTTTAGCATTTTTTCCCATATACAGACAATAATTTTATTATATGTATAGACTAGCGGACCCGACAGACGTTGTCCTGTCTACACGTCTTTAATTTGAAAATTTCAAACTTTTTTTAATAATTTTTTTGATGAAAATTATTATTCAAATTGTGAATCTAAACCATTCCCAGATCCCCTTGAACACACACAAAAAATTTCATCAAAATCGGTCCAGTCGTTTGAGAGAAGTTCAGTGACATACACACTCACAGAAGAATTATATATATAAAGATGTATATATAGGATACCATTAGCCCCATAAAAGAAGCATAGTGCATTATTACCGTCGGTGCCGGGCGCGGCGTAGAGCGGGTAGCCGGCCTCGCTGGTGGGCTTGCGCGGCTTGCGACGCCGCGCGCGCGCGCACAGCAGCGTGGCGCCCTTGCGCGCGCGCCGCCCCGCCGCCGCGCCGCCCTCGCCCGCCAGCGACAGCTTCATCGACTCGCGTCTGAAGCATCAAATAAATAAATGAATATTAACACACAACACCATCAAGTTCCATGATAAGCTACGAGGCTTGTGTTATGGATACCGGATAGTTCCGGATAGTTAATCGATTCAGCGAATTAATCGTCAAAAGGTAACAGACAGACATAATTACTTTTGCATTTATAATATTACTATTGATATATGTTCAACCCTATTTAACTCCCCACTACTGGGCACGAAATTCTTCAATACGAAGAAGAGCCATAATCCACAACGCTGGCCAAGTTGGCAGACTTCAAACGTCTTTTGAAAGCTAGGTTCTTTCAGGAATGCGCGTTTTATCATAATGTTTACTTTCACCGTAAGACAAGTGGTAATCATGAAAGAACTGCGATACCATTCCGAAAGACATGTGCAGTCTGTCAACCCGTTCTTGGCCAGCGTGGTGGACTATGGCCTAATCCCTCTTATAGTAAAGGAACGCCCGTGCCCAGCAGTGGGACGTTAAAAATTACTGAATTCAACCACAATTCAATTCTTTTTATTAATATGAACATTATAATTCCCATTAAACAAATACATACTGATGTTGGAAAGCCTGGCTCGGTATGAGGCCAGCGAGGGTCTGGTCCTCCTCTCCCTCGCGGAAAGCCTGCCACCAGTTGGGATCCTCACGGCTTATTACGTGCAGTACATCGCCCTTTTGGAAACTGATACCTGTAATGGGATATATTAATATTAAAATAGTATTATTAATTAATATCTTATTTGGCAAATTCGAGCTTTTTTATTTAATATAGACACAGTAATATCATAGTATAAAAAAATCATACAGTGATCGCTTATGACCTGAAGGAAATGCAAGGAATTAAAAAAAAATACCAATATTTGGTACACGGTTTTGACGTTGATAGAATGAATATGTTTGTAAATTCAAAGAATTTCAATGAAATTCGCAATTGGTTTATTAATTCATGTATTCATGATACATTATGTTTGAGAGAATCTAACAAGTTTTGAAAGACATGTGAAGTCCGCCCTGCACTTGTCCAGTGTGGTGGAGTATGTCCTGGTCTCTTTACATTAAAGGGATTAAAGAGAGGCTAGCAGTAGGGTGTTAAAAGGTACTGAATCCTCTGTCGGTCCCTCAATTTTTCACGCTTAATCCGTTCAACCGATTTAGATGAAATTTAGTATGGAGATAGTTTGAGATTCTGGGAAGGACATATTGTAGTATTGGATAAATAGGATAGCTTTGCTTGGGTTTGTCCCTAAGTACGTTGTAACGGTTAGTATGGAATAGGTAGATTAGTTGTTATGGGTTGTGGTTTTCGTAGAAATGAGATGATTTCCCGCTGTAAGAAGTAGTCAATGTCACTCTCCAGCTCTCCCACTATTTCCACCCAAAAATCACGATAATCCGTCACTCTGCTTCGATGTGAAAGGACAGACAGACCGACAAACAAACGGACAAACATATTTTCATATTTATAATATTATGAGTATGAATATATATTATAAATAGTGTACGAGTAAGAGCATGCGCACTGACCGAGCTCCCGACACGGTATGTAGACGTCGTCCTCGGGGTCGTAGTCGAAGTGCGCGCGCACGTGCAGCACGCGCGGCGCGGGCGCGCGCGGCGGCGGCGGCGCGCGCGGCGCCAGCACCACGCTCAGCGTGCCCGCCAGCGCGCCCAGCACCTGGCACACCTCGTGCACCGACTTGCCGCGCATCGGCACGCCGTTCACCTCCAGCAGCTGGCCGAGGGAGGGACGCGTTTTGTATATAGTGGGTTTTTGTTATCATTGACCTACTGTTATGTATGCGAAAGTTTGCGTGTCTTTGTGTGTGTGTGTGTGTGTGTGTTTGTTTCCTGCGACGAATGAATGTATTGGGATGAAATTTTGTACACAAATATGTAAATGTGACTTAGAATAACACATAATTCATTATTAGGCATTCAGAAACGCACCCGAGAATTGAGGTGGAATTCTTATAGAAGTATTTAGTTATCCGTACAAAGAACAGAGACATGGACGAATTAGAGACTGGACCTGACATAAAATACAAATGTATGAAAACTAGTTCAACCAAGTGACGCATAACACACACAAAGATTTTATTACATTATTATAAACACTGATACACAATACAATAATTCTAGTGCTTGAACGTAATCGATAAAATACATATATCGATGAACCAATGAATGACATTTTAGACATTGGTTAGCATAGTCATCATATTTTACATCTTTTAATTTAAAATATCTGTATTTATTATAATAAATAAAATAAATGAATTAAAGAGGCAAATCTAAATGTGTCAAATAATCATTTATTTTTTAATTTTTTAATTTGATTTGATGGCAACATTCTGTTGGCCTATAATAATGTTAATGAACAAATGAATATCGGGTGTATATTCCATTAATATATAATAAGTATTATTTTGTAAAGATTAAAAAAATATTAAGCTAATTTAATTAAATAAGTGATTTTGTTTGATTCTGTTATTGAACTATTTTAATGAGGAAGGGGAGGGGGAGGGGAGGGGAGGGGGGTGGCAATTGATTGTCTCGGGGTAGTTATAAAAATGTGATACTTTCCTAATTGCTCAGTTCTTAATAAACATTTGTGAAATTAGGAAAAAAGAAAAAAGTGATTGCAAATTGTGAAAAAGTGAGTGTTAGATCGTGAAAGTAAATCATTAGTGCAAGTGGTTAAAGTGTTTTATTACAAATCGCCACCCAGAAGCTTAGTGCTAAAACATTATTGTTTGATTTTGTGTAATTTATGTGTTGAAATAAAATGATCTTTATTATTATTACATTGAAATAATATTCTTTCCAAAGTATATAAATGTGGTATAAAATAAAATAAAAAAAAATAAGTACACATACTAATTATAATTTTTGCATTTTATATTTTTATTTGATTCAGAAATATTTTTATAAATTTATTGTCATCAGATTGTAGGATACTGTGATAAAATATTTTATGTTATTGTACTGTACAAATAACACATCATTCGTTCAGTTATTTCGTCAAATATCGATATATTTTTCGACATTGTCAAGCACTAGTCGATGTCAAATGGACTCACTCGACAGTTTTGTCATTTGTTCTGAATGGTATAATCCAGCCCGTTTATGATGGTTGTCAGATGTCAACAATACATAGAAATATCGACTATATTTAACATAGTTGGATAATATGACATTTTATTTTACATTAAATTAAATTGTGTGATAAATAACAATAAATGTAATAAAATAATGTATTTACAAGTGAAAAGAAATAGTGTTGCTTCCGCCGTTATAGTTTTTACACCATTTAACAGAACATTTAGTCATTTATGGGAGATGTTTTGTTGACAAGTAAGTGCTTGAGACTGACACAAAAAACAAACGACCTAGGCTAAAATTACCCTGGTTACTGACATGACCGGTGAAGGTACGTCCGCCTATATGTCTGGTCCAGTGGTTAATTCGTTCATGGAACAGAGATTATTAATTTCATTAATTTAAACCAGAAACATATAATAAGGGTCCTAGTAGAGTGTAAACGTAATGAGTTGTTTTTTGATCCACAATTAACACGTACGAAATCTACTCTAAATTCGTTTATTAATCGAGCATGTTATAATTATAAAGATAAATTTAGTAACATAGATTTATTTAATTATAAAAATGTTTACATTGTTAAGAAAGTGTTTTTAAAATCTTTAATATCTCTATCATAACCTTAAGTCATTTTTTAAATTGCCTATTCATATTATGTTTTTTTATTATTGTTTTATTATGTTCTGTTAGAGTTTAAGTTTTGCTTTTTGTGTTTTGTTTTTTAGATAGTTAAAATTTTATTAGATAGTTTTAATGTTTAAATTATTTATGTTTACTCTACCTGTGACATATTTATAGTTGGAAACTTTGCCGGTGTGTGGACTTTTTAGTTTTTAATTATTTTTAAGAATTATGTCACTGTTTGTTTCCCAAAAATAAATAAATAAATAAATAAATAAATAAATAAATAAATAAATAAATAAATAAATAAATAAATAAATAAATAAAGAATAAATAAAGAACTAAATACATAAATAAAATAAATAAATAAATAAACTATAAATAAATAAATAAATAAATAAATAAATAAATAAATAAATAATAAATAAATAAATAAATAAATAAATATAACTAAATAAATAATAAATAATAAATAAATAAATAAATAAATAAATAAATAAATAAATAAATAAATAAATAAATAAATAAATAAATAAATAAATAAATAAATAAATAAATAAATAAATAAATAAATAAATAAATAAATAAATAAATAAATAAATAAATAAATAAATAATAAATAAATAAATAAATAAATAAATAAATAAATAAATAAATAAATAAATAAGAAAGGATTTTTTAATAATTAAAGGCCTTATACTTAATATTTTGTTTGTTTCAAAACACGCTGGAAACGCGAACATTAGTAAACTTATATATCTAGAATAATACCACCTCACAAGACACTCAGTATATACCTCATCTCCTTCATGCAAGAGTCCTGACTTCTCCGCCGCACCGCCTCTAACTATCCTTCCAATAATTACTGCTTCACCCTCGTTTCTTACTGTAGCACCTGTAGAAAACAACAAATATTATAAATAAAAAAGTATTTTTGAACTTTTTTATAATATTATTTTGACGATCTTAAATAATTATATATCTTAAATAAAACTATCTTTTCGGATTTTTTCGCGGATTTATTTGGATTTTTGGTTCCCGAAGTTTCGAATGATTTACAGCAATCATGGTCAGTGGTCACGGGAGAGACTGAGGTGTTAGATGTCTCGAAGGTATAGTTGTTACAGACAGCCAAAATCATATCAAAAAAGATAGTTTTATTTAAAATGTCAAATATTCGTGTAAATCTAAGAAAGAATTATATATCTGTCTAAAGAATTGATATTTTTTATGGAACATTAACACACATCACTATTTAGTCCTTTAAAAATTATACCGTCTTAATTTAGATTGTCTGTTTCCTCTTATTAGGCGATAGATAACTCTAACTCCAAACCTAACTTTTTAAATTTTTTTAACGCTTTCGAACTAAGTGAGGTGAGTCGCTAGTATATACAGAAACATATATAAAGTTAAATGAAACTCACCAAGTGGTTCATTAGTTTTTTCTATTTTGATAATTTTGATATTCTCGCTAGAGTCATCCGGTGAGTGTGACATGTACTTATCATCGCCCTTGTAGTTATTCAAGCCAGTCTGTAATAATACATTCATGAAATTTTAATGGGACATATGAGGGCTGAAACGAGAAGATGATTCATTTGAACATAAAGCTCTTTTTTTTTCAATTTTGTCACATAAACAATGTACATATATTATGATAACGTATTTCGTTTATCCTGATAAAATTTAAAATGTAGGAAATCTTTCCAAAAAAATTATTATTATTTACAATATGTATGAGGAATTTCTATCACCATCAATCAGGTCACTCTTCTGGTACCATTATCAGTCTAACTTCCATCACCGTGGTACAATTTTATTGTCTCCAAATATATATACGTCGAAAGAATGACTATGTACATTACTTCGCGACTTATAAAATTACCACCTGATTTAATGAAAAAATTACAGATGACAATATTAAGTCAAAATTACAAAGTTATTAATTATATATGTATATATAAAGTATAAGTATACCTTATTTCTCTTCCCTCTATTAAAGCAGGATGGGTCCAACAGTGCGGCGGCTTGGTCGTGCGCCTGTATTAAGCTCTCAACTTCTAACCCGCCTAGTATTGTTAGTAATTCCACCGCGATCGCGGACGTCTCACCCCCTGACGCCGTTTGCGATCCTAGCACGTCAATGCACTGGAATTGAAAAATAATAGTATAAGTACAAAATTTCATTTAAAATTTGTTGATTTTAACGTAAATGGTGTCAAATGCAACGGTTGTCAAAAATCATTGATATACTCGTATAAAAACATTAGCGACTAACTCTCGCTTCGCTCGGGTTCATCCCTAGATACGTTTTAACGGTTAGTATAGATTTCTCAGAGAAGGGATATTTTCCCGTAGTAAAAAGTATTCTATATGTCGACCCGGATAACCAGCTATCATCATACCAATTTTCATCAAAATCTGTTCACTGGTTTTCACGTGATGCGTTCCCAGACAAACAGATAAAAAATCTAAGAACTATAGATTTAAATATTTAATATAGATATTCGCCTTAGAATAAAATGTATATATATTATTATATGTATAGATAGATGATACATATTTCTTAACAAATATCTTTTCAAAATGGTGGCGTCGACATGAGTCAAACCGAAGAATAAAAGTCCTCAAAAATCGAAAGTTCTAATTGACTAAACACAAATTCGAAATGTAATCCAGAAAACACCCTATGTAAACGCTAATCGTTTATCTTGAATTTTTGTATTAATGTCAAAAATATTAATTTCCGGTTTCAAAGTTAAAGCACTGTAGCGCCATCTCATTGCAAATTATAGTTATACCACCATCCGTAAAGCGTCATAATATAATTGCTAAAATTTTATAACAATAAGTTTTGTTTTGTCGTTTCAATGTTCGAGAATCAAGCTTTTAAATAAAACCGCGACAAAATACGTAAAGATAGTTTCATTTAAAATGTTTTCATTTTTATATCTTTGCAATAGAATATATTATAATATGAGCTTAAAAACTTGACTTTCAAATTTAAATTACTACTTTTATACGACGAAATAAAAATTATAATTAACATTAAAAATTGTCATTTTAAAACTCTACATTTCTGATGTCAGCGCTACATTAACTTTTTACAAACTTCAGTTAAACACAAAGGATAAAATCACAATTTATTCTCGCAATCATTTCAAAGTCTAACAAAATGAAAACGCATTCAACGTGTTTAATATTCATGCGATTAATTTACGGGGCACAGGCTGTGGCAGCAACGGTCTGCGACGTTGGGAAAGAGAAAGCATTGAGTTTGAGCTCTACTTTAGCATATTCCCTTTACATTTAGGTACATTTTGTTTGACTTTCAATGTCTGACGATTTTAAATTTATTATTAAACTAAAAAAACGTTCAAATATATTCTGACTCATCCACGTAGCACTTAGATATGATATCTTCATATCTAAGTGCTACGTGGATAAAAAAACTAATCGTTAATAAAAAAATAATATATCGCTAATAAAAAAAACCCAATGGATAATTGTTTTTTTTTATTAGCGATAGCCAATATAGAATGTCTTAACTAAGCTCCAAGAATAGAATTATATTATACTTATTATTTTATTTTTATTTCTCCGATATGTACAAGATAATATTACTTTTAAAAATATATTATGTCGATAGTCTAGATAAGTGGGAGTTCAAGTTATACCCTATAATAGCTAGTCTCCTATCTTTGTTTTAGAAAAGTATTTGTATAATTAATATAAAAGAGAGAAAAAATAAATAACCTTAATAAATTACGAGCCAATAACTAAAACTATATAATATAAATTACTTACATCCTTTAATCGATCGGTGGCTCTATGCGTCTGTGGGGGGGATAGTCCAGGTCGCTTATGTCTCACTGCAGTCAGGACTGCTGAACGAGTGGCTAGGGCGGTTCGGAGGGCAGGGCACAGGAGAGCCCCGGCCGCGCCGGCCACCCTTGCCGCTAAAGCGCTCTCCCCACTCGAGCTGAGAGCTTTCTGTACCCTGGATAGCGCTGCACAAACTTCTTGGTAATCTGGAATAGAAATAAACTTACATTATCACATACTTACGAGTACATACATATATTGAATACTAAGTTCAGATATCTAGAACTTCCACATAATATTTTAGGGGATGGATTTTGATTAAAAAGCCTTTCTATTCATTAAAAACATTTTTTTTTCTTTAAAAAAATAACTACGGAAGAAACCTAAATACAATTATGCAATAGAAAATAGAACATAACTCAATGATTCGTTAAAACAAATTTCGCTATTCATTCTTCTTTTGAAGCTCTAAAAGCTTTTGCTTCCCGAACATTTTCATCGTAGTAAAGTTTGAGATTCTTCATTTAATTTTGAATTCCTTTCCCGCAATCAATTAAGTTAAAGCATTAAGATTTTTACCGCGACTCATTAAAAGTTTCGATTATTATCTGGCGCGATACGAAAAAATATGGCTATGAAGAGCAAAAATGGAAAATTTTAAATAAGCTTGGATTTAATCTGTTAACATAGTTTTATATACGATATTAGAATTATTTATATTTAGGAGTAATACGAAGTTGAAGCGTAATACGTTATTAAATTAGGTTTTGGATTACTACTACTAAAAGTATATTAGATGAGGCACACTGGATCTACAGAACCGATTTTGATGTAATTTAGTGAGAAGATAGTTTGAGACCCTGCGAAAGAATAGGATACTCGTTATCCCAGAAATCATCCCTTAAGGGGGTGAAAATGGGGATAAAAGTTTGTATTGGGAGGCAAGCTAGGGACGAACGCGAGCGAAGCGAGAGTGAGTCGCTATCTGTAATAACTTTATTTATTGTAAACACCGGCTATATTATTTTTAATAATATTTAATTTTAGAAGCAATGTATAAAGAATTAAAATTTAATCACTTAACTTTACTTTTTTTAGATTTCCTTGAATATTTCACATTTTAAATTTTAAATAAAACTATTTTTAAATTTGAAAAATATGATATATGTATTTTGATTTTTATTTTATAAAAATCAAAATCTGAAAGAATCCGCGAGAAAATCTGATAAGACAATTTTATTAAAGAAATTTCACCCTAGGCCTATCGATCAAAAAAGTACTGTTTGAACATTTGAACGCACTTTTATTTATTTATTTTTGTCAAAAGAACTTTAACTATTGCATTTAAGGTTCAACATACATTGTTGTATATTTGCAACTAGAATAATTACCTAAACACAATTGGTCAAACTAATACAATGTCCTCGTAGTACGTAGACGTTGTGCTTATATCTTTTTAGTAATTAATAATTCCAAATTACAACGGTTTTTATATGATATGCACAATGCACAAAGTTTTTATTTGTTGAACATCCAAAACACATGATGATGGAGCCAAGTGAATGATAATCCTTTTACAGCACACCACAAGCTAATATTAAACGATCGAACTATTGCTTCGTGGACTGGAAGTAACGCAGCCCCGCGGCAAACAGGTTTATAATTGGTTTATATAATACACGAGCTTTATTTCTATCTAAGCTGAAGAATCATAAAACCAGAGAGCATGAAATTATTCATATGAAATTCGAAATTTTCAATGATAACAATAGCATTACATTTTATATCTTACAATTACAAGACTAATGGTTATGTTCTTGAGAGATTAGACAAGTTCATATGTTCTTATAATATATTATTAAATTTTACGCAAACATTTCTTTTAAAAAATACTTCAATCTTTAAAATTACCAAGTTGCTGTTAAAGCTCAAGTATTAGGTGATTTTATATAAAGTGGACCTCATGGATATTTGCTTTTTGCAAATAAACATAAACATCAAGGGTTAAGCACAAGGTCAAATCAATTTTTTTTTGTACTTAAAAAATTCTAAGAATCATTAGCCATAGGTAACCATGGTAAACAACTGATATTATATAAAAACGCTATCTATGAATACGCACTAACAAAATATTTGGATAATCAGCCAAAATGATGGAAATCTGATTTATTTTATTTTCCTTAGAGTATTTTTTAAATCAGAATATATATATAGATATATATATATTATATATATATATATATATATATATATATAATTATTTTACCTTTTACTTACATGCATCGCCCTCTATTGACATGTACATACATTTATTATACTATAATTGGACTAATCTTTCTTAATTCCTGATGATAATACTAATTTCACTATGTAACTATCATTTTACGACGTCGCCACGCACCTTCCCATGCATAATGCTAAGCAAGCCTGCCCCGTAGTTTACGGCTAACAGTTGTGTACATTGCAATTTATGGGGTTGTTGTAACACGTTTAGTAAAGCATTTAGGATAGAATGTAATAAACATACATTTAAACTGTGTATATTTAGAATAGGATAGGATAAATCTTTGTATTTTATAGTAATTTTTCACTATCCTTAATTAATATAATAAAATGTGTCAATTGTGTATGTCTGTTTATCCTTCTTACACATATTAACCGATGGACGTTATTTTTTTCATAGAAATAAGCAAAAGCTGGTCTTTAGTATAATTATTATACAGAGCAAATATCAAACCAGTGACCTACGTATGCATAAGTTAGTCAGGCCTCAAGGCAAACGTTTTAATAGTTACATTTGTAAACAAAGAAAATAAGTTATAAACGTTTTCTATTGAATTTTCAAATAATTTATCAATAAATCTTAGCAGTTTAGTTCATTGCAATATCTGTTATAATTACATATTGAAAATGTATAGCGCATTAGCGTATAGTCGATAAGTAAAGCCGTGACACGATCGAATTATTAGTTCTGAAGCGTAAATATTATTTAATGTAAAGTAACTATATACCTATACTTTAAAGTTATGTTAAAATTAGAAATGACGTAATATGTTACATATTTTTTTGAAACAGACGGATAGACATTCGCTCAAGATTTTTGACTAGTTATTATATAATATATGTATATATGTTTGTAGTAGACTAGCTTTAAAAGTAATTAGTAGTTTTATTGATTACTAGCGACTTATCCTCGCTGCCGTCGGGTTTGTCCCTAGCTGGCTTCCCAATAGTTTCTATTTTCAACCCCATTTTCACCCTCTTAAGGGGTGATGTCCGGGATAAAAAGTATCCTATGTCCTTCCCAGGGTCTCAAACTATCTTCTTGTCCAATTTCATCTAAATCAGTTCAGTAGATCCAGAGATTACCCTGTACAACGTCACAAACTCGCAAACTTTACCTCTTTATAATATTAGTATAGATTGATTCTTAGAGGTATTTTTTTCTAAAACTATATGGGACGTGAAGGTATATAAATAACCTATTTATTAAAAAAAGATAAAATTATGATAATCGATTCACAAATTTTAATAATCCATAACGTTTAGATGGACAAATAAAATATTAATCCGAACTAAGTTTTTCTTTTTGGTAGTCGGTCGAAAAGTCGGTATATTGATCCCATAATCGATTTGCTCCGTTTTAGAGAGTCAATAGTTAGTGGGAACATTTTTTTTTTTTAAATAAATATAGAGTTGATTACTTTTACTAGTTCAGTCCTTTATAATCTATGTGACAATGAAACTTACCAACAATTGCATATAGCTGAGTAGTCTCATCGCTGGCATCTTCTTCATATGCATCGTTTATGAAAGCAGTGCTGGATGGTGGATTAGACTCTAGCGCTTGTAACTTGTGGGAGCCACGTAACGACGTTCTCAGAAATTCATTTTGGGCGGCGATCCGTTCTTCCGCTTCTTTTCTTTGACGAAGTTGTTCCTGTAAAGAAGGCAATATATAAATTTCGTGTCTTTTCTTATTTATATAGTATTTTTTGGTTTAAAAGCTTGGTTTAGTTGAGTTTAAAAAAAAATATATATATTTAAGTTCTATTAAAAGTATATATGATAAAAAAAACAATTTTAAATATACCAAAAGATATTTCTGATTATTTTAAAAGGCTATAGTTTTAAAAGCCTTCTTTAGAATGGACAATGTGATATTGATTAAAATTTCATTGCGTCCGTAATATATCCAAGCTCTTCATCTTTCAGACTATTTAATTAAACCCCTTACAGCGTTGAGAATTGAGAAGGATTTAATTGAATTAACACAAAATATGTCAAACACTAGTTTGAATTTTATAAAGCTAAGAATCCTATTCATATTGTTATGATAAGTGACATGACTTCATTATCTTCAAGTCAAAGAAATTCAAAAATTGTCTACTACGCTTCGCTTCGGATTCATCCCTAGACAAAAACAATGTACAATATCCCATGGGAACCGTACATTTTTTCGGGATTATATATAGCTTATAGCCTTTCTCAATAAACGGGCTATCTAATGCAAAAATAATTTTTCAAATCGGATTAGTAGTTCCTAAGATTAGCGCGTTCAAACAAACAAAGTCCGCCTCTTTATAATATTATTATAGATTTAAAGCTATCTTTTAAGATTTCAAGTTAAAACTCATAGATTACAAATAATGTTTGTTTTTGTTTGGGTATCTTGTATAGTATCCCATTTACCTACGACACTTTAGCAAAAAATAATCATAAATATAACGAGAATTATCTATCAAAGATCAATCTAAAAATTAACGATAGCGAATAGACAGGAGATTTAGGAAAAAAAACACGTTTAATTCCAGAGCAATTTCCATCTTATATAGGCAGAACGTCATCGCTGTGACACTCTTCCAGCTGGTTTAGATAAGATGACAGTCGATAATCTTTCACGCTGATAGAAAATATATATAACTATTTGATATATCGCTTAAATATGTCATTCTTATATATTTTAGTTTTCTTTTTCTATTAGTGTTAACGATTATAGAGTAAATATATTCTATAATCGTTACCGTTAATAGAAAATTCTAGTTCTCCGTAAGCCTGCAGATTACACCCAATATTGAAGTACGATAAAGCCACAGCTAATGCTTCCCAACCATTTATTTCTGCATTCACGTCCGAATTTCCTTTCAGAATTACATTGGACTTGTTTTAGTGCCATTTTATTGAGATAAAAGCTTACATAGAACTTTTAATTTTATAATTCAATCTAGTCAATTAAATAAAATTCTGACGATAATATTGTTAGCAATAATTTATATTTTCGCTTCAAATATAAAATATTGAAGTGTTTTTTTTAAATATCGGTTTAAAACATTAATTAATGAATAAATAAATGAATACTTTAAATCGGTTCGCAATTGTCGAAAAATATAAGAAAATTCATATGTTACATGTACACAAAAAAATAATCGAATTGAGTATCTTTTTTTTGACCCGCAAAACAGCTTAGTTTCACTATAATTGGTTCAGTTTCAATGTAAACAAATAAAAACTACATATACATACATACATATATAACGTGGTTGAGAAAATGTTAGCCAATAATTATTAATACTTTTTTATAATAGTGAAAGCATTTGTGATGAGTAGCACTCATAACACGTATAATATATCAATCGTTTTAACTTCCAATTTATATGTAAAATCAAATATTGACAATTGAATTAGCATAACATTCAAAGTCCTTGTCTTTCTAGGCACATTGATGTCAGCGTCACAGTGCGAAGGTGCTCTTTGTGATCTCTATAGAGAACAGTCCACAATAGAGCTACCATGCGTCATTCAACACGCTACTTTGTATCATTGTTCCAGTTATTGAACTAGTTTAAACATTAAACTTTTATTGATTAAGTTAGATGCTATGTAGACCACTGTTAAAGGTTTAAATTTTTTTTTATAAAATTATGCCAACTGATTTATGGTAAAACAGCATAAAATGGATATTGTTATTAATTAATTATCGTCCTTTTCAATAACTGTTTAATGGCCAGAGATAACAGATATTTTCTTCACGTCAAATTATAATGGGTGGTTGAGACTTATAATGCTTCGTAATAATAGACAATCTTTTTTTTATATTTATTAATTATAATCAATATCCTGCCTTTTTTCAGCTGTATCAGGGTTGAATTTCAAAAATCTTTTCTTATCTGTTACCTATTATTATAAAAATACAGTGACGAAATTTCTACCCTCTAAGGCCAGCGGATTGACCTGTACGATAATGAATGCATGTTTATTGTTAACGCATTTGTTTTTACCAAAAACTCCTAATATTTTCTTATATTTACGCGAATATTTGACATCTATATATTTAAAGCTGAAGAGTTTGTTTGGTTGAACGCGCTAATCTCAGGAACTACTGGTTGGATTTGAAAAATTGTTTTTGTGTTGGATAGTCCATTTTTCGAGGAAGGCTATATCATCCCGGAAAAATGTACAGTTCCCGTGGGATAGATTTGTTGTTGTCTAGGGACGAATCCGAAGCGAAGCGAGGGTGAGTGGTTTTAAATAAAACTGTCTTTTCGGATTTTTTCGCGGATTTATTTAGATTTTTGGTTTCAAATGTTTCGAATATTTTACAGAAATCATGGTAACGGCATGGAGTTGTTTTGTTTTAAACAAGAACTAGATAAAATAACTTTGAAATGAATTGAAAAATTGAAAAATCCACATTAACTTTCTTCTTTTAATAGCTAAGTTATAGCTTTTGTTCAGTTTACAAAGCACTAGAGGGTAAGTAATTACTCGCTCGTTACGAAAAATGTTTGCTTTTGTTGAATAAATCTTTTTACCTACAAGGCGTTGTACTCGTTTGATGGAAACCAGATGTAAAGAAAATATTGTTTCACAATGTTACTTTTTTACAAATATAATGAGCGATATTATTTATCAATAATGGCTTACAGAATGAAGTTTAATATTGTTTAGTTTTACGCATTTTTAAGCTGTTTTAAGCTTCAAACGATTGAATATAATAAATGCCTCAAAATACTTTTCCGCTTGATATATTAGGGTGCAAGATAAAAACAAATTGTGTTTAGTGATTGAGACGTTAACTCGTAGATGAAAATAATATTTGTGTCTTGTGATGTAGATCGAAGATCTTTACAGTAAGAAATGTGCACTATAGAGAATTTTATTCAAACAAGAAAATACATTACCGCATGCATACATATTATATAGTTTCACAGGAAGAAATCGTTAGAAAGTAGAGTAAGAAGAACTTAACACAGCGGTACCCTTATCATCTTAAATGGGCACCATGGGACCGTATACCACCATAACACCCCAAAGGTTAGTCTACCGAAGCAAGATCACTTTACTCTTAAGAGGTACTGTAAAGCTAAGATATACTTTTTTAGGGTTCCATACTCGAAGGGTGCCAACCGGACCCCATTATTTCCGTCTGTCAGAGGGTTGTATCTCATGAACCGTAATAGGTAGAGTTAAAATTTTTACACAGTGTGTATTTTTAATACCGCTATAACAACAAATAATAAAAAAATCAAGATGGCGAATTTTTAAATGGCCACCATGCATATTAAAAATATCGATTAGTACATAGTGTTAAATCTTGTACGATAGTTCCGAACCCTTGGTGCGCGTGCCCGACTCGCACTTAACCGGTTTTTTTGTTATAAATATTATCGGCAATCAGTAATATTATAAGCAAATGAGTTGCAAGGTGATATACAGTGAGTTTGCACTCCAATAGGAGTACGACTTTCGATTTGATTGCTGCAGAAGATGATTAGTAAAATGTAAATCTTTGATCCAGTTCAAAGATTCCCTTTAATCGATTCGAAGCTTTATTACTGGCCAGAAGCCCACGGGATACTACGTTACGGTGGACTCTCAAACGAGACTTGTATTTATAACAGACTACACTAATCTCCTAGCGAACTGTGGGAAGATTCGAAAACTGTTGGACTTCAGCGATTATAAACCATAAAGCTTTGGTAATGGTTTCCCGGAAAGCATTTAGAAACCGTTGATGGATCAACGTTACAATATACTCGTACTTAGTAAATATTTTTATTTGTTACAAGCTGGAATCAAATCCGTAATAGCATGGGATTTACTTTCTAGGAGCTTTTAAATTCAGTATGAAACAGCTAGTAATATTAAATATTATTTGTTATACATACGAATATCTGAAATATTTGTGTTTACTGCATAGTTTCAAAGTTATAATAAAATTTCGATGGGTTAAAAAAATTCATTTTAGCTACAGTTTTTTTCAATTTACAATTTTGTATATTTTATTCTGAAAATTTAAAAACGAAATAGGTTAGAACATATTCTCTTTTAACTTTAGCTTTTACATTAGCTTATGCATAGCATAGCATTAAATGTATAATAATATGTATTTTAATATAATATATTTTAGATGTTCAGCACACTGTAGACATATAGTCAAAAGTCGAAATCTAATTTTAAAGTTACCGCTTTAGTTTTCCTTTATTGTATACTAGCGACTCACCCTCGTTTCGCTCAGGTTCGTCCCTAGGTTACCCCCTTGAGTGATGATTTCCAGGATAAAAACTATCCTATGTCCTTTCCAGGATCTCAAACTATCTTCATAGCAAATTTTATCTAAATCGGTTAAGTGGATCCAGAGATTTCCTCCTTCAACCTCACAAACTCATAAACTTAGTATAGATAATATAAGCATAATATATGATTTCTTATCAGTTTTCTTGGGGTTATCTTAAGGTTGCTAGAAAATTTTACTTTCCTAGACATTATACTTTACAAAAGAGGATGGTTGTGGGCTCCTTTCCAAAGAAACGGTCAACATTTTAATGTATAAAACGTGAATGTTTGAATAAGGATTTTCGCGCGATTGCTCGTGTGATTGATCAGAAAAAACGTACATAGTATATATACATCAGTACATCGATAAAAAATATGAGATCA